TTTTGTAAAAAGTGAGCGAATCGGCCAGTGCACGACGATCTGCAAGCGAAATTAGTTAAAACTGCGAAAATAAATCTTCATTGGGCTTTTGTGGATTTTGACAGCTAGTTATAGATAGTAAAGTATTTTTATACTTTTTCCATCCTGTTAATATGCAACATTTACAGGCGGTTCCACACGAAATCTACTAGCGATATCTAAACTTTATCGAAAATAACTGACACGTAACATTTTATCCGCCTGGGTTTGTTTAAAAGGTTGTGTTATTCTTAGTCTAAATAGATGTAAAAATGTCCAGAGTAAATATAGTAAACGAGTTTCTCTCTGCGAAAACAATTTTGCCCGTGGTTCTTAAAAAATTGTTTCTTTTTCTGCTTTACAGTGAAAAATTAAGACTCTTTAAAGTGAAAGGCGCCTTTCCAGTGAAACTCATGCAACAGTCGACGTTTGCGTGGCAAACCTTTATACCTGTTGGCGCTGGCAACATTGTATACCGGATATGACGGTATCTATTCGAGCCAACGGACACATGGTCGTATGGAGCAGCGGTCACTTGGATTTCGGCTGCGTTCCCGGACGGTGATATAACCACTAGTGCTGCTTGTCGTTATAAAAAGTTGTTAATATTCATGTTCAGTAATAGTTAAAATATTAGGATCAAGGTAAAATCGTTAGAATTCTTATATACCAACGCTTTATTAGAAAAAAGAATTATTATCAGTGTTGTTCCGTATCTGGATAAACATCATTACTCCTCCTTGTCACATCTGGCAAAGTTATTTAGTTATTCATTTGACAGGGGCACCAACAGCAAATAATAATTTATGATAAAAAGAAAAAATATACGGTAACAAACCAATAACAGGTCTTCATTTTTATTAATTATAAGCAGTTCAAGTACCATGCGAATAAAAAACTATAAAGAGTTTAAAGTTCTAGCAATTCACCAACATTACATTAAAAGCATTGCTCTAACTAATTTCTATTATGCATCGATATAAGAATACTATAGCAAAGTGTCCAAATAGATATAACATTTATTTAAATATCATAAAATAATGAAATTAAGAAAGACAAGAGTTCTTCGTTTTAACTGCTTTTGTTAATATACTGCTTGTTTATACCAAACTAATTAGTAGACGTTTTGAATATGTTTTTTTTTTTTTTGCTTCAATAATTTAACCACTAATTAAAAAACTGCCCTTATTTCAACTAGCGTAAAGTATTTCTCGGAAGAGAATCCTTTCGGGCCTTGCCGTAACAGACTTTTCTTAGCACGGAAGATAAAGAATTTTTACCACGATACCGCCAATAAGTTATGTTAAAATTTAACAAACTGCCCGACTATTTTTATTTATATACATTCTTATTAATAATAATTCATTTGTTTCTCCACATTAATAACCACTGTAATTTATTTTCTTTTTATCTTATTTTTGTTTCATTAAATTCTAGTTAATCTGTGTGTGTGTTGTGTGGTGCAATGTAACTTACGAAATAAATAAATACAATAAAAAATAAAACAAACTTATCAACTAAGTATATACTAATTTGTAGAATACGGTAGTTTCGCCGTCGTCGTTTCAAAAATGAAAGCACTGGCATGTGAGCTGTGGTTGACAAGTCATTGCAGTAATGCCAGACGTCATAATGAATGTTTCATGCATAATTGTTAATGAAATAATCATTAACCGTATGATGCGCCTTTTCAATTCCTACTGCCTTAGTTTTTACATTTCAGTGGCATAGATTCACAATGAATAAAAAAAAATCCCTTTGTAATCATCATCATTAATGTAGTTTCCATATGTTTACACAATATTTCAATACGGAAAATAAAAATAGTGCATAACAAAACAAAATCAATATCTTGTCTCCATTTAAAAACTTCTTTCGCAAGACTTTTTACCTTTTCTCATGACGCTCAGTCTTTAACAAAGTTGTGCAGTTGAGTGATATAAAAATTGTATTGAGCGACAAGTCAAAAATGTTCTCCTAGGCTCTATTAAGGTAATTAAGGTAATGCCGATTCTTTTTCATAAATTCAAATATAAAATAAAAATTTCCAAGGTAAGTACAAAGGTAAGTGCAAAAGGTAAGTAAAATAAGTGTATAAAATGTAAGTTAACATATTTATAAATTGAATTCAATACACAGAAAATCTTTGATTAGATTAATTCATATGGCATAATGCCATCCCTGGACAGGACGTTACTAAGTGCGGTACAGTACGTATTGTTGTTATGCCGTTTTCGAGCGACAATAATGCTTCCTTGTTTTATTTGCGTCCACTGCTCATAGGTTTGTTTTCTGTAAAATTACACCATGAAATCAAGTCTGTCTGTTCATATAGCCAACGAAGCTGCCTCTAGGCTTCACAATAGGTGCTTGATTATTAATAGATGCAAGGGGTTTTTAGTTCTCTAAAAATATCTTAGTGTAAAATGATAACATCCTGTGTTATTTGGACGTTTTACAAATGTTAATTTTACATGAACAGATAGCCAGATGCGGATTGTCGATTGGTCACAAAATACTTGTGCCCTGTGCTAGCCGATCCCATGACTTGGCCAAGAGCGTAGCAGCTATGCCAACTGAGTCGTACGTGCGCCAGTTTAATACAAACCAAACCCATGGTGGCAACAAGACGTCATTATTTTTGTTCATTAATTTACTTTATTGAGACAGACAGGGAGAAGAAAAATAAGGAAAATCAAACAAAAGGTAATTAATATCACGGAGAGAAGTTATTTATTTAGAATTCTTCGAGTAAAGGCGGTACTTTTGCATACTTTTGCTTTTTGCATTACATTACATTACATTGATTACGTTTATTCTATCGCAGTACGAATGGCAGTCATATTTTACTATAATTTGTACGACCTAGAAGAACAGTAATGGATGTATTACAGAAACTTTTCTATTTGTTCATTCATTCATTATCAGCCCATGAATTGAATCATTTGAGAATTTATCTGAATGTACTTTGAATTCTTTGTGTTAGAACTAGGAATGTTTATATGTCTCAATATATTTCTGTGCTTATCTTATAAGTCTTTAAGACAGGCGCAGTTAGGGATTAGAAGGATGGGATCATAGAAAATAAAAAATCAATTTTGCTCTCTACAATACATTTATTAAGTTGAATATAATGAAGAAGAATTGAAACACGTGTGCTTCGTCATCAAACGGTACCATTATGACAGGCCAAATCATTCAGTTTAATCATCCGGTTATTATAATGTAGGACATAATTTACTCCGTATTAGGTATTACTAATGTATTATGTTTCTAAATGTCATAAACGTATACAGTTATAATTTGATCTTAAATAGACTTACCACTACAATGGTGGATAATACATTAAAGTCTAACTAGAGAAACATTATGTAGATCTACTGTGATTATAATTAAAAACAAAAATCACCACACCTCATGTATTATTTAATCACAATGTGAACTTTGTTGTTACGACATTAATTCAACGAAGGTGTGGTGTCGTCTCACTTTTGGGTCTTTCCTTTGTTATAACTCTACATTAAGCATGTCTACGTATAATATTCTTAAAATATCCTATAACCGGGTCGAACCCGAACGTGAAACTAATGAATTCGTAGTAACATCGATTTAACGAAACACATATTATGTGTATGTAACTTACTATATAGATAGAGATAGATAGAGTGATATAGTTATATAATATATTGATATTTGAGCTAAGGTGGTTATATAGTGTAATAGTTTATTAAATTCGCTATTTAATCTAAATCATAAGAGGAAAGGTAAGGTGAAATGATCCCTGTTTAGGTAATATAATTACTATAGGAAAATAACATGAAGTACCACTTTCTTTGATATTTTATCCTAGCTAGTAGTGTTGACATAGTTTATCGGACAATCGGCGACTTTTAGCGACACTGGTTTCTTTTAATAATTATGTAGTAAGTACTCATACGTGTATATCATAACTTTTATATTGATGTGTCGTCCATTTTGTGAAATACGAAGATATATTTCTATATTCCTTAAAAAAGATATGTAATTTGTTCTGTGTATACATAAATCTCTGTCATGTTTAAATAAATTAATATTGGTCTGTTATACTAATCGTTATCAGAATAAAAAAAACGAATCGAATAGTAAATTTACATTATGAATAATTGAAAAATGAACGTAAAAATACACGATCCGTATATCCCTTTGACTTAGGTATATTAACGATTAAGATAACTAATCACAGTGCTTATTAACGGTCATGATAAAGCTTAATATATAAATAATCTAAGAACAGAATAAATGGGGCAAATGTGTGCGTAGTCAGTAGCTTTGAACCTAGTTGTTCGGGCTCAGAGGACGCGTCTTAACACTCGTTTCCTGTTGACACCTAAAGCGATCCCCTTTAGTGTATTCTAATATATGAGCATTCGTGTCACAGTATTAAGTTAAATTTAGAAACTTAAGTAAATTATTCTAAGTTTTGATAGACATGGTGAAGTAGTAGTGTGTGCAACCTTAACATCACACAATAACCTTTTTAAAATTGGGCTCCGGCCACCTCACTCACCGGACGAAACGCGAAAGTATCATACTTCCACTTTACGCCGGTCTTCTGTGGGGTCGTGGTACTTACCCGGACGGGCCTGCCCATTCGTGCAACAGCCGAGGCTGCTGCGTGGCCCTGCCGCCGTAGAATTTGCTACGGTAAATTGGCTAACATCAAACACCGAATACACGATAAACTGGTAAGAGAAGAAAAATACACTAAGCCGTCAGAGGATGCGCTATGTACCGATGTAAGTCTTCGCTCGTTGGCCACCTCTGTCGAAAGTCGTGAGACTCCGGCATCGTCGGGCCAAATGTTCTTTAATTGCGCCACCCTACTTCCCAATCTTACGTATAGATGAATTATGATATACTAATGATGAAGAAAAGAAGAAGCTATCGTGAACGCCGCTACGGATGAAAGGCGTTACGATTCCATCCCTCCCGCTTGCAGATTACTCCTTAGGCTTGGGGCCCTCGACGCCAGAGTTTCCAGTTTTCGGTTTGCGCTTCAGCTTGAAGCGCTCCATGCCAGAAGCACCACTAGCTGGCTCCTCGTTGGATTTGGGGCGTTCCAGGGCAGACTTTCCTTGGGTCGGTTCGTCTTTGAACATCGGGTTCTTCACCTCCAGGTTTCCCATCTGCACGCACAAAACAAACAGTTGGAGTTGCAGTTGCATGCAGCGGTGGCTGAACACGATTGCTACATAGAAGTGGTTTTAATATTAAAAGCAGGACGAACATCAAAATACGCAAACGTCATCCAGTATTTCGGGCACAATTATAGTGCCGAAAATAAAAAAGTTGACACCATTGACTAAATAATTTGTCTCGACAATATAGTCAGATAGTTAGCGCACAATTTTGATATAATTATATGATTATTATGCTATTCAAAGTGAAGGGAAAATACGCAGCAGCACGCACGTAGTCTGTCTGTAAGATTACACTAGTAAAATAAGCGAAAGATAAATTGTATTCTGTGAACAAATTGTACCGCTGTCGATATTATTATGTAAGCAAGTGATTAAAGTTAACACTAAACTTCTTTTTTAAGAAAAATGAACAGACAACAAAAACTCAGGAATATCACTTGATAAAAACTTGAGAGGACTATCAGATCCATCATCCACAAGCACTTCAATATGTGCCCGTAGAAAAATATCGGCCAAAAAATATGTAGGATACAATACACGAAAACTGGTCGTAGCACTTAAGCTGGTTAGAGAGGGAAATTGAATCCGTTGTTTAAATGAATGTTTAAATGAAGGAACCATGTGCTAAATAGACGGCAGACGCTATCATTAGACTCGATGGAAATTAACGGTGTTGGAGCAGTCCAGACATTTCATTAGTTAGAAGATGTACAGTGTAATATGGAGAGCTACGAGTATAGCCTCAAATTGGAATAATTATTAAACCGGTCGGGTGTTAGTTAAATGTAAAGTAGTTTTTCATAAAGGATTTAAAAAGAAGTTTGAATAACCTTCAAATTTCTTCTTTCAATTTAATACCTGACTGAATCAGATTATACTTTAATATTAAATCAGAAAAATCATAAAGTCATGAGAAATTGAAATATTTTTGAACAAAAAACAACAACAAATCTAGTTCTCGGTATGAACATAACTGATAAGTGCAATTGAAATTGTCAATTCAATTGCACAGAGCACTGTCAATGAAATTATTCAATCTTTATTGATCTAATATTTACAAGATTAAATCTATCTAAAATTGAAATTACAGATAAAATTGCAAGGCATTCGCAGGGCAGACTTACATCTTAATTGAAACGTCTGCACGGCTAATAGAATCGAGCATTAAATAAGTTTAACCAATCACAGCAAAATGTACCGTGGATCTGCGTACATACGTATACTGCAGTAAGGAATCCATTATAGAATCCGTTGACATAGATATTCTCCACTTAACAGAAAATTCAATCCAGAAAATGTATTTATATCAGGTTATATCATTTATATTTGTAATGAATACGATTTTGAGGAAAGGTTTATGTTTAAGAGTGCTTCGCAAATTAACGGTATATTGTAATCTGGTTTGCGGGAAATTGTGTGTGATTTTATCAGATTACTGCATTATTCCATTTGCAAAAATTTAAATTAACAAAATCAAATATAAAAATCGCATTGCACCTTTCTTTAATATGCTTTGTATATACGAGGGCGGGATGACAAGTAACTAGACTAATAAGAAAACACTTAACTTTCCGTGATAAAATTAATTTTATTTTTCGACATACTCTCCGTGAACCGCTACACACTTATTCCATCTTCGTTCTAAAGCAGTAATGCCTTCCAGAAAATGATTTCTTTCGAGGCCTACAAAATACTCCTCTACGGCGGCTATGACTTCATCATTTGTGGCAAATTTCAGTCCGCCCAAAAAAGTTTTGAGCTTAGTGAATAAGTGGAAGTCTGATGGCGCTAGATCAGGCGAATAAGGTGGGTGGGGCAGCAAATCGTACTTCAATTCGTTGATTTTTGCCATAGCTTTAACACATGTGTGAACCCTAGCGTTGTCTTGGTGGAAGATGATTTTTTTTTCACCAAACCTGGTCGTTTTTGCTGAATACATTGATGAAGCTTATCAAGAAGATTAGCGCAGTATTCACCATTAATTGTTAGACCTTTAGCAAGGTAATCTATCATCAAAATCCCATCTGCATCCCAAAAGACGGAAGCCATCACTTTTCCAGCCGACTTTACAGCCATGGCTTTTTTTGGAGCCGAGCATCCCGATTGAGTCCACTGTTTTGATTGAATTTTGATTTTTGATTCTGGCGTGTAATGATGAACCCATGTTTCATCTGTTGTTACAAATCGACGTAAAAAATCGCCCTTATTACTCTGAAAACGGTCCAGACATTCTTTTGAGTTTTGCACCCGAATTGCAAATCTTGCAATCAAAATTGCAATCGCGGCACCCAACGGTAACTTTTTCATATTTAATTCCTCACTTAGGTTATTATGGTTAGGTTATATGTACCCGTTCTTTCGAGATACCTGTAGTGTCAGCTATTTCAGCTAACTTCAATCGTCGATCTGCTAAAACCATATCATGTACTTTCACGACCATTTCCGGAGTCGTAACGCTTTTTGGACGTCCGGGGCGGGCTTCATCTTGGACACATGTACGACCGCGTTTAAACTCAGCCACCCAGTTTTTACTGTGGCATAAGAAAGAGCACATTCACCCAAAATATTCTTTAACTCGTCATATGTATCTTTTGCCTTCATCCCCTTCATATGAAGAAACTTTATCACCGCTCTGTGTTCAATTTTATCCATTTTGAAAATAGTTGACGAAATATGTTTTCAAATGACAAAAAAAACAATAAAATTTTCCGAATAAATTTACGAATTTAAAAATGACATATATATTTTTTTTTAATTTTAACTTTTTATATAGCAATGGCTAGTTACTTATCATCCCGCCTACGTAGCTATTGTGGGATTGAATTAGTTTCCTGACTTAACTAAATTTTTTACTAGTTCAATGAGTGCAGCCCGTTAATGCTAACTCAGAGCGAAATTTTGTTTGTGGCAGGACAACGCAGCCAAACAAGCACGGCAGACGCGAAAACCCACACTTTAATTCAAGAAAGAAAGTGGAGGGAATATCGTTTACTGTTCTTGTCTATGCTCGTATCGCCTTAGAAGTATATATAAATAAATAGATAAATATTTCAGGACACAACGTTATACTATCTGTAATAGATAACTGATAAACATACTGAAACATATTTTTTCTTTTGTAAATAAATACATATAAATAAACACTCAGACACTAGAAAATCACTATGTTCATCACACAATATTTTCCTGTAGTCGGCTTCGAATCCTCCCTCTGGCGCAGGAGACGGGCTCTCTATCCACTGCGCCTAGAAAGCGTCGTAGCGGTATTTGATGCAATGTACTTACCGATGCACGCCCAGGGCATTCGTAAACTGTGTAATCGCCGTCTTCGTTGTCGTCGTCAGACTCGTAGTCGGAAACGGAAAGGGTGCGAGCTTCCATGGCAGACCTGTACAAAAAATAAGTGTTATATCGCAACTGTTCAGAACTCCCTGCATGTCCTTTGCTAAATCTCTGGATTTGCCCAAACTATTTAAATATATGTCCTATTCACAACGACGTAATCTTCTGGAACGTTTAACCGGCTGTGAGCACTGCGCCTTAGCATTCAATGGTTAATAAATTTTAATAAAGTATATAAACTTTTTTGAATTCCCGAAACCAATGAACACTTTGCAGTGGTTTCTGATGACCCAGACTGACACCAAGACGTAAAACCAATAATTCAATCATGCAACCGCGTGAATACAATAAATGAATGTCTGAATTTTGATTTGTTTTTTGTTGTATCCTTTTAATATCGATCAGATTCTATCTCTTTTCAGCAACGACGCACGCCCATTATTTAAAAAATATTGTGGAAAATATTGTTATTCTTCCTAATGAAGGTTAGTCTTCAAAGTTGATGATATCCTTGTGACTTTGATTGTAAATAAAAAATCAATCGTAGTGAAGGTAAAATAAAAACATTTCTCATGACTAAAACCGCTCACCTCTTGTGAATTCGGCTCTATGTAGTGAGGTGCAAATGCAAGCAGATATACGAAGTCGAACACATTTCCCTATTAAAAGCCATCGTATCTGTGACGTTGCATTGAGCCTTCGGCGCAGGTAAATTGGATCTCGGTGTTCCAAAGCCCGATTCGAATGCACAAAGTCTGCGTCAGATAATGGATATGGATACAGAATACGACAGCTACGGTGGCTCGGAAATGCACGACGCAAGGGAAGGCCTTATTCACTACGCGTATTTTCAACGAGATCCATTGGATCAGCCTGATATGTATTAGATTAGGTTAGCTTCCATGTAGCATACACTAATCTATTTTCCTTGGAGGCATTACATAAATTTGGTTTAAAACTAGTGGTGGTTGACGTTTACATATAGGGTAGATTTATATTTGTCTCCAAAACAAGGTTCACTAAATACATTCATTGTCTTCTTTACTTAGTATAAAACAAAGTCGCCCCACTGTTTCCAGGTTTAGATCATTTAAACTACGTAACGGACTTTAATGCAGTTTTCGGCAATAGATAGAGTGATACAAGAGGATGGTTTATATGTAGTATACGGATCTTATAGTAAAGAAAAGCCGAAAATTCATAGATTTGTAATGTGATGTCATTATATCATTAGCCACATTACTGTCATTGCACCCGTACGAAGCAGGGGCGGGTCGCTAATTAATAATATAAATAATTACTACAAAGATGCCTGGGCTGACATTTCAATCTCTAGCTACTTTTTTTTTTCAATAAACTCGTCGACAGTTTTAAAGTCAACTCTGTTTTTTTTTTATTTCTGTGCACCATCGGCCCGCCCTAATTATTCGTACCCTCGAAAGCAGTAATTGAAACATCGGGCCGGGTGATCGAGACTTTTTAATGACGTACAAAAGAGCTCTCTGCTAATTGCACGTGAGGCTAATTGGCTACAGCTTGCGCGATGTATTCACAGTCCCCTCGATTTTCGCTGCTACTTTGTTCGTGTTCTTACGCGCACATTTTTCCGGACTTTTCCACCGCTCTATTACTAACTACCGTAATTTTTTTTAATGGTGCCACATACCCGTATGTTATCCCTACTGCGTTGTACTAATTTTATACCAAGATAACTTTTTAATAAGACATCTGTATGGATTATAGGGAAATTATTTTAGACATGCGAAAGTCACCGGCTATAACTGACAAACTATCAATGCAGTTTTTTGTCGGTTCCCACCATTGAGGTTCTCAATTAGTGATGTATGAATGTATATACGAATAATACACCCCGGCGCAGGTATTTAAAGCGCGCAAGACATTAAACAGCTCTTGCTACTTAGAATTTTTGAATTAAAAAGTAATTACGTGAAATTTGAGGTGAAATGGACGAAAAGTCCATTTATGATTGGCGAAATGAAATTTATATTTTGTTTTTTATATGTAACTGATTGGAATCCAACCTTTCAATGAGTAAATTACATTAAAATTTTTCAATTAAGCTTTTTCAAATATTAAAAAAAGATAGAACTCGAGTTATATTTGGTCGCAAAATGGACTTAACCAATGAACGAGAATGGGGTGGGAATTGTTTGGACTCCATACAAAAAGGGTATTTTTTTTATTTTACCTGCGTAACTTGATTGCAGTACTTTTGTTAGTACAATTATAATACAAATTCTCAAAACGATACCAAAATTATGCTAAATGTTTATGTGACTGGATTCAAAATTACTTCTCCAATACTAAATCTAGTTGGCAGAATTTATTTTGCGTATTCCTCTTTCCACTTTGACACTTTGACCAAATTAAAAAATGACACGTTGAAAACTTTTGAGTTTGGAATTATATATATTTAATGAAAAATGTCAAGGCTAAAGTTTATTTAAATTTAAAAATAATGCATCGCGTATTTTTTTACCGAAGCAGCTGTCCGTAAATTCCATTTGAACTTCTATAACTACTATTGACATTGATGTATGTACATCTGAAGATCGATCTAAGGAAAAGTTTAACCCTATTAATATAAGGATTCTGCTAAACGAAATGGCCCACCATACACCGGAAATTTATTAGGAAATGTTACAGTGAAAATACTATTTCATTTTATAAAGACACCTTTTATAGATTCTGACGTTGGCATTCAGTAGAGTACCTCGAGGACCGGCAATATTTAATCCGTGTCCAATTATTTTAATGTTGAAATCTAAACTTAATTTTCGGTACCTTGCTACATTACAAGGTCAAAGTGACGACATACAGGAACGGGATTCTATCTTATTTAAGTAATTCCAAACGTGAAAGTTATTCTGTTGAAATAAAGTAAATTTCTTTAAATTAAAATTAAAATCATCCCAACTAAAGTATTAACTTTACCAAACCAGCTATAGTTCTTACAGCAGGTATACTTTTGTTAATACAAGATGGAATTAAAATTGTATATTAAAACATACTATCCACTCTAATCTACTCATGTTAACATACTGTTCTGATTAAATTCACATATTACGCATACTATTTTGCGTCATCGCATTCACGTGCCTAAATTTGTAATTCTTTTCTCGAATCCAGTTTGTAAAAGTGGTTACTTTTTAAAACTTTTTCCCACTTACGGATGTATATATAAACAATTGCACTGGCGTGCCGTCTGTGCTAAGTGGCAATTTAAAACAAATTGGCCTTCCGTTTATTAGTGCCTCTCCTTATCTGAATCGCCCTCTGCCAAATGCTTAGAGCGGTGTACGCTGATTTTTTCTGTTTCTAAACGGTTTTATTTAGCTAGACCTGTATGGGTCAAATCTAGTAATTGAAATTTGACCCCCTTCCTGTTGACGGGTTGATTGGAAATTTTGTACGCACCTTTAGTTCTGATGAAGATACAATTTAATTGCGTGTGAAATTTCTATCAAGTCAACCGCTAAATCTAAACGCCATTTACCTATTTACCCAGGTTACGCGCGCCCATCGATTTTATTTTTTGTCTGATCAATGCCCTAAATTGATGAGGAGAGTGGTAATAACCAGTATCTAGGACCTATCGAATTATTTTAGCGTGTAGTACATTGTCTACATCATTTTATTCTTTATTCTCAACTGTGTTTATTTCGAATCTTCGAATTAATTTCCATACTACTTCAAGGATATGACTTTTGTTCTAATCTCCAATATGGCAGGCAAACATGAAATTTTAATGTACGAGTATGTAAGCGAATGTATCCTCTATGGAAACTGCAAATTTAGACTCCATAGGAACAGGAAAATTTATGGCTAAAAATCTGAAAGCGGTAAATGGGGTAACGATTGTATAAAAATCGACGGCGGTCTCTCGGACCCCTAGGTGGACATTAGAGATATAGCAACAAGTTCCATAGCTTTGTCTTTGCGGTCCATGTACGAACAAATGTAAAGGTGTTCATTTCACGTAAATATCCCGAAAGCCCTCCTGTATTAATCAGAGATCGCGGCTCAGAATCCACCATCTAACATTAAAGAAGTTGCATGAAATGCAGTTGCGCATCAACGGATTTACTCACCTCTCCATAGCAATAATCTGCCGCTTCTGGAGCTGGTAGTTGTAGATGTGAGCGGAATGCGCCAGGCTTCCATCCCCGGTAAAGTCCATGTTTGGTCCAGTGACACCGTAAGCCGGATAGTCCACTTGGGCCGCAGCCCTGGCCTTCTTGTCCAAGCTATGGGAGTGGCAAACGAGTTTTTTAGTCTGAACGTGACTGCGGAGAGATTAGAACATGCTAGCAGAGCGGTTAGATCACATTGTAAGTAGGCACTTAATACAGATATTGTAAAGGGAAAAGATATTTTAGTTTAAAAGTTTAATGGGTAATAATATATATTGACAGAGTCGTTTATTTGTATGTTTTATGGTTAAACATCGACACGCGTGATACATTATAATAAATGAAAATTAGACTATTTTTGAGTAGCATTCTCTTTTTAAGGGTTAAGAAGTAATTATCAATGAATTTAGATAAAGAAAAAGAAAACAAAAAAAAAACAATAAAAACAAAATGTTTACCTTTAATTTCATTTGTGGAAAAACACCAACTGCTAATCATTGTATGAAATAATACCATTATATCATACGCTTTGTTAGTCATCGATCTTAGAACAGCACAGATTAGTGACAGCTATGTACATACATACAAAATATATCGAAGGCCAAGAAAAGCTTTTTATATAAATGAAAAGAAACTAAAGAACTAGACAAAATTGCAGCATAAGATGTTACTGGTCAGAGGACGTATTATTAAAGTGAAGATTTGCCAGCCCTGCGTTCGTCCGAGTTAACGTAACAGGATGGCACATGAATTGAAAGAGAATTGCCTGCCGTGCAGTCAAAGACGTTAAGTGGATCGGAAAATGTAGTGGAATTGAAGATTTATCGAGTCAGTAAATTTTATTAAAAACAATTTACAATAACATTAGCAGTTCCAAGAGTTAAAAGAAAAGGAATTAGTAGAAAACATAATATTGTATTAAATACCAAGTACATACGATCGTTATATTCCTTGGTGCTTCTTCTCATGACTGGCATACGTTTGTCGGTCAATGGTAAAATGACCTTATTAAGAACATGAAGCTCATCGTAATACCTACCATTTTATATACAAACGGGAAATCATACTCCATAAGCGAATGAGTTACACCAGACCAAACCCATGGACTCTATTAGTAAAACCTCCACTCCTTATTTATTGTGGAGCAAGATATACGTGAACGCTGGCGTTATGGACTTTGCCGTCGGCCTCGATACCCGCTGTACTCAAACGAAAAATTTGCATGCATTCGCCAGGACAAACAAAACCATTACTATTTCATTAAGTCTTACAATCGAGCAGTTTATGATTAGAAAGCCTTCACTGTACAATGCTATTCTGAAAGGATTTTAAAACATGTTGTTCACTGGTTGCTGCAGTAGGTTTGAAAAATCAGTAAGACATAGATCACCAGGCTACCACCCGTTTAATAAAAAAACAAACACCTTGTACCATTCATGAGAGCAAAAGTAAAGACGAGAACAAAAATAAAAAATTAAACCAAATACCAGAATATAATAAAAAAAGCCTATACGAAAGAAACATAAACCCCTTTGTCGCCCACAAGCGTGTGCCTATAATTGTGTATACGTGTGTATGCGTGTAAATGTTCATGTGCGGGGTGGGGGAATTTTGTGATATCTTAACCTCCAACGGTTGTTCTGTATCAGCATAAGTCTACTTAAGAAGCCATTCTCGAAGAACATGTCTGATTTTATTAATTGACAATTATTTTTATTGAATGACTCACAATCAAAAAAATATCAAAATCTTAATAAATTAATAAATCAAAATTTATAATCGATCAACTCATTTCCGCGGCTATTGTCATTAATGTATTCATTTATATTATAATAACCCTTTTTATAAAGCTTTTCTATATATATTATAGAAAATATTTCCATAATAGTTCAAAGTTTGGAATTGTAAAGAATACTACCCAAAAATATGTGACGCTCTCATGCGAAATCACGATATTACGCCCAAATTGATAAATTTCGGTCTCCACACGAAAACCTTATACGAATTGCTTTCACCGAACGTTGTATTAATTAACGAGCCGTCACTAAAGTAACTTGCGCATTATTAGTTACGCGGAAACAATTGAGCGTTTCATTAACGTTGAATTTAATTATTAACTGCTCCCCACACGGGGCGGGGGCGGGAGTGTAATTACAATATCAAAATTCGATACAATGTTCAACCACAGTTTCGCTAAAAGCATGTTCACGGAAACAATTTCACAACAATGCATTTATGAAGCTCCAATGGTGTATTCTGCATGTAGTTTATTCAATGTGTCATACGAAAGCTTTTAGCGTTAATTGTTCTTCCGGTGTCCGGCTAAAGTTTAGTTGATTGAAAGCTCCGCGTCGATTATTGAATGGAAGCGTAAAAGCTCTCTGTTATAACTCGTTTATTGATAACAACTGTGAACGTAAAGAGGTTGATGCAAAAGGCATCTAACAGTTACAATTTAGCGTTGGGGGCGCATGTCGGAATTTGTCCATAATCGTTTTGCAGAATACCTCGGCTGTAAACATCACGTTTACGTGATTCCAACCAACACTTATGCTACATCTACAGATCGTAGGAACATTCAAAAATCGACACCCCGACCAACTTGAGCAGTTCACGCTGCCGACGTGGCTAAGTCTGTACTCACGCGTTCCAGCTGAAGATAAAGATCATTATGGCCACAGCGAAGGCCACGCAGATGGCGATTAGCAGAATGATACTGTACACCGGGGTCTCCATGTCATTATTGTCGTACTTGTTGAAATGGCTGTCGTCCGTGCCATGCACCCCGTCCGTGGAACTACGGGGACAGTTGGCATTAAGCATTCGCCATTGCCACAGTACAGTCGCACGCAGACGCTTTCAGCATACGATCATATCAGTGGTGTAACTACTTAAACATTGCGGTGGAAGCACCGAAGTTTCTGACGACGAGGCAAAGGCGGAGAACGTGATGATTCTCCAATGATGCTCAACGACAGAAGAAGCATCACGAATAAGGTTTTAATGGTGGAGTAGTCGAAAAATAGACGCGGTATACCTGTTTAAAACGGCAATGAAACGATCTCATGTGGACCTAAACAAAATGTTAATCGGCCGCAGAAACCTCGGTGTGAACAACAAACACACTTTGACACATAAAGCAGTACGTGTTAGAGAACAAGTACAGAAATGTTCGGTTGGAATGAAGCTACTCGTATTATCTACCTATTAGAGCTAGATGAACCTTAATTATATTCAGTACGATTAAAGGAGACCTTGAATAACGAATGATGTTGATAGCATACCTAACAGGAGTCTGTGACAAGCTGTGACCAGAGAGCCTAGTCAGATTATGGTATTGTAATAAATTGTCAAAACTCTTAGTGGTATTTTAATTCTAATAAATAAGTTGGAATAGTTTTTGATTCATCAAATGTTAAATTGGAAATTATTCTCCCATAATCGTATGAAGATCGGAATAAAAATTAAGCTTTACATTTGAAAGACTACTGATATGAATTCGATTTTTGATTGCTGATAACTTTTATCCATGCCATTGTCTAGATGTCTAATGCAGTAAATCAATTTTATAACAGGATCCAAGAGAGCGCTTTTTCACTCATAATCATTTTTTTACGTTACGCAATTGCTGTATGAAACTTACAACCAGACTATTTATTACCGATTTTGTTGCGTTTAATGTATGTTATGAAGCACCCTACCATTTCGAAAACTTGTCAATATTCATTGCGTGCTTAATGCCCTAATGTATTCTGTATGTGTCTGCAAGATCAAATTAAACGCAATCAAATCGGTAAAGTATGTTCTTGCAGAAAACATAGATTGACAAAAACAAAAAAGAAAACTTTGTAAACAAATGATGAACATTTCACAAGTAGAGGTTCGACAGCAAAAAGCATTCATAATGAAGGAAAAAACCCAGTTTCCATAGGAAAGGGTCTGAAAGAACAGCACATTTCTCTGCATAACAATAAAATATATGAAAGATTAATTTTGGAATTTTGTGATGTGATATGAATTGCTATTATGGAACATAGCACGATTAACGAAATTGTTCACGAGAATCCAATTGAGTATTGCCAATTGTGTCGTGTCGCCGCGAAATCGCGACCGTCACGGAAATGTAATGTTCCCATGATTCTACAGGGATCGCTTGGGTGTGGGGAAAGCAAACACTAATAGTATTTATAAACTGGAATTATGTTCACCTTTCAGTGGGTAGCTTCATTGGCTTATGTTTCTCTATTCTGAACCATCGTAGATTCGCTGGTATTAAAGACATGGCTAAATTAAATTTCCTAAGACTCCTGTAATTAAAACAAAACTCAAATTAAAAAGGCAGAAATATGCAATGTTCTTTCACAAAATCACAAAAAATCCTGTACACAATTAAAACGTATTGAGTGATCAGTGATAAGTGGCGATGGGCCGGCCATATAGCTCGTAGAACCGATAACCGTTGGGGAAGAAAGGTTCTCGAGTAGCAGCCTCGTACTGGCCATCGCAGTGTAGGACGACCCCCCACTAGATGGAGTGACGACCTGTGCAAATGTGCGGGAAGTCGATGGATGCAGGTGGCTCAGAATCGTACTTCGTGGCAGTCTGTGGGGGAGGCCTATGTTCAGCAGTGGACTCAAACAGGCTGAAATGATGATGATGATGATGATGAGTGATCAGTTAATTTATTTAAATTGATATGAAGATTCCTCTAATTTACTAAACTAATCAAAATATTTGTGGGTAATAATCATAACATTATACTATGAAAATTCTTTGATAGTTATCATTTACACCTTTAACTATACTTTTGCTGTTTCTTGTGTCGGTTGAGGAAAGATATCAGATAGTCAATGGTGTTTGTAAGTAGAAATATGTACAGCATCGTCGCGAAGTCAGCTTTACGACTCTCCGCCGTCCATCCGGTGCTCAGGGCGAAACTCTTTCATATGCTGGAAGATACTCCAACTCTCCCTTACATCAATATTAACAATCCCCGTACCTGTGCCCTTCTACTCTGACAGATTGTGATTTTGTCAGATAGGGTCCAAGTTCGTAAGACTAAGACTCGTAAGTATATTATACTATATGATTTGCTTTCAAATATCAAACTGTTGAACTATATCTCATACGTATTGAAAATAGTTTCAATACGTCATCAGGAGCTGTCAGTACATTTGCTTGCTAGTAGTTGTTAAAAATGTTGTGTATGCAAAGAACGTTTGCATAATTAAATGGACGGTGACTCTATTTAAGCACTTGGACCACTGGTGGATTTTGTTTTAGAAGTTGTGTATCGATGATTTTATTACAAAATCTATATCGTTGCTATTCTTATGCGATATTTGTTAAAACTCTTATGACTGTATACTCGTAGTAGATGGATTCACGCTACCACGGAATGTCAGAATTCGGTAACGAAATCAAATGATGTACGGATACTTAAGATATACGACCGGTTATTTCGTATAAACTCTAACAACAATCATTTTTGACTTACACTTCCACTGCGCTCGAGTACAATAATATTGCGGTCACTTTGTGACACAATGCACAATACAGTTTCACTCGCCGTGCACGCTTTCTATGAAATGTTGAAAGAATTTCGCTTTGTTGAAAAATGTTCTTTATACCTCTTTGAATATTCTCTTTCCAATGACTACATCAGCTGCCTACGCAACATGTTGACTTTAAAGTAAATCAGCGTTTGCTCGGATAAACCTGGAATTTTACTATTTCCAGCCAGACAATATTATAAAAATATATTTTGCTTTGAAAAATATTAATAACCACACAGTGTACAAACCAGGTTCACAACGCGTTGCCTGGATAAGTTTAATTTTATTACAAAACGAATGGTTGCATCTTTTAAAAGTACAGCTCTCTTTAGCCCTCGTACTCTTTTGTATGAAAGTAATTTAATAACGTATTTTAATTATATTTTTAGCCATTAGCCATTAAAAGCCGTTATAACTCATTGGCCGGGCGCTTGCTTTTAAATCAATATACTCGAGTAATCCGACTTCGATCCCCGGTGCCTTAGCTGACTTATCTGTCTTGTTATGTACTGACGTAATAACAAAAAATATTTGAAAGATTATATAAATGCTATGCCCTAATACCCTATGTACACCGGAGGCCTTTGTCCAGCAGTGGGACATATATAGGCTGTTAATTTGTTTAACTTTTTAGCCATACTCTTTAATTCAAGGTGCCAGTATAAAGAGCACTCGATTTAACATGGATGTTTTTAAGAAAAAACGAGCTTAAAAATGTTAATTAAAATCAAATATTTTCTAGTTCGTTAATTATTTTTTTCGAACGCGGCCGGTCACGCGTTAAATTACACCGAAGCTGTATATATAGGTAGAGGCTCGGTTGATGTAGGTCGTGTTAAGTTGTGAAAGGCAGGCGACCACGCCAGTTGCGTCGATGATCGCAAAAGCGGTTACATCAAAGGACCGGTACAAACCAGATGCAGTAAAGCAATTTCGTTTCGCTCTAACATACCCCTTTGACGTAACGTTTGACACCATTAAAACCGCCCGACGTGTTAGTTCCATTGACACTTTTAAATTGAACTACAGTCTGCTACAAACTGCAGGAAATTAAAAAAGAAATAGCACCGCTACGCTGGCCGAAAAATTTGAAAAAGCTCCAGCGGACCGCTCTGTGAAGTCTGCTAGAAATGTCTCTCTACATACCGTTGTATAATTAACAGTGAATCCCCTTTCTAGCGGAACGGTCCCCTAACTTTAATTGACATTCGTAAGCGTATTTTGATTTAACCGTAGATAATGTAAAGGAAATGAATATTATAATAATATTATCCTTACGTTGGCAACGGTACATAAATTCATAAAACATTGTCCACCATCGGTCGTTCAAGACGTAACAGAAAATAATTGCTTGAAGCAAGTGAATTGACAGTCCCCTCTCGTGCCAACACTACACTCGGCGTCAAAAAAATCGCACATCCGAAAAAAAATAATTTAAATACTATTTTAACACAACTGGCCAATGGCAATGTTGTGGTTTGAGGGTATCATTCGAAGGGTAATTTCATTAGCTTTCAGGAATTTTAATTGAATTTTACTTTTATAACGAGACGAAAGAGAAATTAAAGAAGAAGACAGGGTATGTACAAATTTGCAAATTAATAATTAAAAAAAAAACTTAATAAATACAAAAAAAGTTCTTAAAACCTAGTGTTACCCCCCCTTGCCTTGATAACGGCTTCCATGGGATCTTTCATGGACCTTACAAGGGTTGCAACAGCCTCTTGAGGTATTTGCTCCCACTCTTTAAGTACCGCACCCAGAGCTCATCCCAGAGATGTTCTATTGGGTTAAGGTCTGGACTTCGTGCTGGCCAATGCATAACAGGGATATCGACCTCCTGTAAATAATCCCGTACAATAGCCGCGGTGTGGCAACGAGCATTATCATGCATTAACATGAATCCATCACCGACATAACCAGCATTCGGGGCCAGATGTTCCTCCAGGATTTCAGTAATGTACCGACCAGCATTTATTGACCCTTGCCCACGGCCACCCCGAGTCCGGGAAACGCACACAAGTTCCGTTTTCCCGTCGACGGAAATGCCGCCCCAAAACATACACGAGCCACCCCCGTATTCGACGGATTCTTTGAAGCAGGGTTGTGTGAACCTCTTCCCCTGTCTTCTGTAGACCCTTCTACGTCTGTCATTGCAGAAGAGACAGATCCTCGTCTGCATCAGAGAAGAGTACGGTCCGCCACTGCAAACTCTAGGCGATCTCTGCGATGCTTTGCAGTAAGTTTTGGACCTTCTTATCGTAGAAACACTCACAGATGTTCTCCGGATTGATCAAAGCTGTTGTTGCAACTCAACAGCATTTGTAAAACGGTTTCGTAAAGATGTCGTAACGATGAAACGGTTATCTCTTTCTGATGTGCACCGTTTTCTTCCTGATCCCGGTTTTCTAACATAACCACTTCTAACCGCTTCTACAGAGCTGGTTTCCATCTTTACTTGTTCTTACTTGGGTTACTTGTTCACGTGTGTTCATTACAAAGTCTAAATTACGACTGACTTATTTCATCCAGATCGACCCTTTTATACCCTTTTTAGGTGGTGTAACTAGCGTCCTTACTAACGAGCATTTGACAGTGTTTATTTTTGACGCTCTATAATGATAAATGTTTTAATGATTTCATGATTTTTTTATTAATAATGTAAAGCTATTCAAATACCCATTTCAAACATACCAATATTTATATAAATGTAATTCGTTTCTAGCCATTACAGCCATTTTTCGCGCAAACTCAGAGAGGTGCGATTTTTGTGACGCTGAGTGTATGTGCAGAACTGATTTCATTAAAAGCCATTATTTACTTTCGTAAACTTTACAGAGACATCAAAATAATTGCACATATTTAAAAAGATGTTTTTTTCTTTCATCTAAAAAAATATTATGTCGCAATCGAGCGCAAATCATGGGAAATCTACGCCATTTTAATCCCCAAAATATAAAAACATTTTTGCAAAGCTAAAAACTTATTTCGCCAGGCAGTCGTTGTGTGTTTTGTTTAAATTGACTGACTGCCTGTTTTAGAGTTTAAGGTTACAGTTAAATTTCCAGTTAGCAATTTTAAACTTGAAGAATCGATTGCGCAGGAATTTAATATTCATGCATAATCTTGTTTGAATAAAACAGTCGTTTACAGTTATTTTGAATACACTTTATTGGCGTTAAACATGTTACACATTATTTGATAATTCAATAATATTGAGAATATATTTATATTATTTGAGAATATACTTAATTCGGATAGGGCAACACAACAGTTACAAGGTATGAATTACTTACAAGCCCGCTTTGAGGGGTGCGACCTCGTCGGTTGCCAGACCCGCTGGTTTTGGGTATGTACCCTGTCGGAAGCCTCTGTCCAATTCCAACCCTTCAATTGGGGTCTCTTCCAGTACCAACAACTCTGTCACTAAAGGATAAGACACATTGGAATATAAGTTAGTATTGCGCCACGATCTTACACACCACCCTCGCGACGCTATTTCTAGTTCCACTCACACCGTGGTGCGTTGTGGATGGAGTAGCATTTTTTGGGGGGCCACCCCTCACCGAAAACCAGAGCGAAGTGAAAGTATACAACTGATTCGTTTCTTCTTGTGGGTAGTGTGTCCCATTTTCGCCCAGGGCATACACGGGGCAACGTATGTAACACCACGGGGTTTTTTTTCAAATCGATCGACAATTGTCAAGTGAGTAGACCATTCACGTGATGTTAAGTGAATACCTAATCCCATGAACAATGGCTTGCAGATGCGTTGATAACCTTTAAAAAAGTGGGGCCCGGCTACCTCACTCGAGTATGTCAGCTCGTGGTACTCACCCGAACTGACCTGCCCATTCGTTCCCAGCGAAGACTGTTACATAGCCGTAACGCCCATAATGCACGATGAGTGATGTGAATACAACCATATATTAAATGAAACATTATTATTAAGATACATTTAAAGCACTGGTGAACATTCTGCTCGCTTGCACACATGAAAAAAATACAATCAACACCAACTAGACACACTACACACGAAGCCTGGTAGCGTTTCAATTCATATTCTGGACATTATCATAAATGATATTACGTAACGTAACGTCGGGGAAAAAATCTTTTCAAATTTTATATGTATAAAGTTGTAATATAATCCCTTTCGTCATATCTTTGTAACTGGCTGGTTTTAATATATTTAAATGTACGACATCAAAAAAAAAAAAGTAAAAAGCAGTTGCCAGCAATGTTTCAATTGTTTTATGTCCACCGAACTGAGTGAATCCAAAAAAGGGGAGAATGGGACACAAAGCCATGAAAAATATTGGGATATTTATAGACCGAATGCAGTGTCAGCGAGATAAGCACAAAATCGCTTCAATTAGCATTAAGCTTGGATTAAAACTTAGGCGGTAGCTATTGATTTACGTTATGTGTCGAGGAGCAGAATTCATAGCGTCGTACCTTAGCTCCGTGTTAGTGGCTGTAGTACTTACTATTATCGCCTTCGGCAGTGAAATCGTAGTAGCCGTCGTCGCTTGGCTTGACGGCGAACAGTATTTTGTCACCGTCCATGGCGTAGTATTCGAAATCGGAACCGTCGTCTTCCTCCATTTGCGTGGTAGCTGTCAACGGTAATGGCGGTTTAGCGCTGTCTTGGGTCACCTCGGACGAGGCCTCGAGGAACGCTCGAAGCACCATCGCCTTTAAACGGTCATCTACGAAGTCGCTCGAGAAGAACCAACCCGGTAGGATCACGGTCGGCTCCAACTGGTCCACATCGCCGATGTCCTTTATCTCGTTCGTTCGTATCTCCTGTCGGCGAAACGTTGGAGTTATACAAATGCTTGTCGTATAACGAGTGCATTATTTATTAACGAAAAACAAAATCGACTTAAAATATCACGCTCTATGTTCATTTTGTAATTGATTTCCAGGGGTCCCCTAAGCATCTCCGGAGACCAAGATCAAAAAATATCATTGACATTAGGTTCACACGGGAAGCACCAGCTTTCAAATAAAAAAAAGTATCATCAAAATCGGTTGTGAGGTAACAAACATAAAAGAAGATACAGTTGAATTTACCACCTCCTCTGTTTTCGAAGTCGGTGGGTCCTCTTGGTAGATAGGTATCCTATCCAGGATTTCCCCACAATCTAATGGCTATTACTTATTTAAAACGCAAATCATTTCAGCCTGTTTGATCCACTGCTGAACATAGGCCTCCCCCATAGACTGCCACGGTGTACGACCCTGAGCCACCTGCGTCCATAAATACACACTAAAAATTCTATTAGAGCAGTGTTGTTTCATTTATTTAAAGATAAATATTTTTCGTAACAAATGTACTGAATAGACAGGTGAATTATTTAAAAAAAAAATTAAGAGGTAGACTCGTAGAAGCAATGTCTGCGATCAGTATTAAAAATATAAGATATTTTTCTCGTCTTCCTTAGCAAGTTTGAAACTCTTACATTTGTAAAGAAACGGGGGGAACAAGGGGGAACTATATAAAAGACGTTATTCTTAAACATCTTTATACTTGTTACGCTTACAGTCTCAAAACGAAGTGAATTGTTTTCTACCATTCAAATATGCTCTCGATAAGTTCGGGAAGCTGTTTCTTGTTTATCGCTTCTTAATATAATTTTTTGTTATCGTATAAAACGATTAAATGGTTCTTATCGTATTAACTATTTTAAGATTGGAGATAACGATTTTTTTTAATACGAAGTTGCTGATGTTTGTGTCTTAAGAAATAATGCGTAATAATAAGTTGTGATAAAGCTATGAAATCTACCTATCAAGGACATAAACATATCTATATACTAGCGAAACCGACAGACATCCTGTGCACACGACTTAGATCCGAAAAATTACATATAAACAAATAAAAAAAAATTATAGTGGACCGATCTAAACCATTCTCGAATCGACCTGAAGACACAGAAAAATTTTCATTAAAGTCGGTCCAGCCATTTAGAAGGTGTTCACTGACATACACAATCACAGAAGAATTATATATATATATATATATATAATATATATTCATTCGAAGTGAGGATGCGCCGGCCATATAGCTCGTGGAACCGATAACCAATGGAGAATAAATGTTCTAGAGTCACAAAAGTAGGACAAAGCAAGTGTGCTGTAAGTCGAAATATGCAGGTGGCTTAAGACCTTATCCAACCTGGAGATGACCGTGGCTTAGATAAACTGGTGACGTTATCATCCTGCGTTCACTATGCGTTAAAATTGGTGTACGATATAACAATCACCGCAAAAGTAGCGTCTCCGGCCAGTCCCTGACCTAAAAACGCTACAGACTCGGACTAACGTCTAAGTTAAACAAAGGACTACACTTCCATAAGTCGCAACGTCCCCAGTACTACCGTCGTGCATAGGCTACGTGGGTAGAAATAAACAGCTCATATTAGGGGATCACAATAAATCAATGGCCAGTTCGCCATCTTTAAAAAAAATCCCATTGAATTCGTACAGTAAAATTGCACTGAGCGCAGAAAGTAATATAAGCCACTCGATGTTTAAATGAGACTCCCTTCCCCCGCATGTACTTAATTACCCTGTCCCCGCACATCTGTGCAAATGGAAACGTAATATAAATGAAATGCGTTTCCCCATCGTGATTTAAAAACGGCCGCGGGCAAATGTTTGCGCAACAGACGCAGAAATGAAAATGATATCGTTATTACCAACAAGTGAATGCAGCGCTCTCTGACATCGATTTCATATACCAGTGGAGGTTTCATAGATGAATTCAAACACGACTACATACATATACAATAATTGAAACATTTCCGCGGGCCCAAAATAGTAGACAACAAAAATAAATCATAATATAGGCACGAGTAGTTAACCTATAATAATTTACTTAAAGTAACTCGAGAAACAGGTCAGATATCCCATTCCTCAATTTGTGGTCGCGGGCCAGCATTTCCCCATCCTGGTACTTTCTATCCCAACAGATTCATAAGACCATACAGACACAGACCGACAGAAAAAACGCGAATTGCGATGGGAGAGATATCAGATGAAATCTCGCTACTTTACGAAAATTGTAACTTCCAATTTCCACTACTTTTGCTTAATTAGAACGAATACCTCTCTCGCCGTCGGATATAATTAGCTGGAACAAAACAAGTGCTAGGACAGCGCTCTCAAAGCATAGCAAAAGTTCCTATCTCGTTATTAAAATCAAACAGGAAAATGTACAGTTAGAAGAATGGATAAGTTAATTAATGGGACCGGTCGGGGAGTTTAATACCGCTACTGTTCATTTTAAACCAACTTCTAGGTTCCATTTTGACCCTACTATTATTACAGTTTGCTTCTGTTTATTTGCTATCATTATATTGCTACCGTTTTTTTATACTAAACGTCTGGTTTTCCTCATAAACATAAACTGTATGAAACTATACAGTTGACAGATTGCAAATCCTTCGTTACTTTCGTTTTAAAAGTATAATGAGGTTGGTGAAAGAGTTACAATATTCATCGATTGTAGTATCAATGGCAGAAAACACTCGTCTTAGCCCTAAAAGGTAGACCTAATATAATGCAGTTGTAAAATTTATGCATTTGACAAATCTCTGCTGCTCTCATATAAAATATATTTCTTTGAATTGGGCAGCATGGATAATATGTGCACTTGTCTCCGAGAGTTGCAGATTATTATGTTCAGTCCGAGAAACCCTTTATTGCCATTGAAAATTATTACATAAATATTAATGGAGGTTTATTGGTACGCACTGCTGAGCGTAAACACTTGATCGCTTTGCATATTCATTTCACTTGAGTGCCCACAGGAGTTCTTGGGAGAGGTCGTTATCGAGAGTGACGCAAGTCCCAAGCGCTGCGTTCGTTATTTAGGCCGGCTGAGATTCAGAGTTGATTAATAGATGTGGTAATCAAATAGGAATTATCGATAAGACATGTTAGGATGAGTCTGTAATTTATTTCTCCCTTTTTCTCTTTGAGAAGTTGGCTAGCGAGCGGATGTTTCACCTGATTTTAAACGAAAACCGCCGCCTGTTGTCATTTGCAACGGCCGTAGGGTTGAATATGCCGTGCCACCTTTTAATATAGTGGGATAACCCACTCAACAGACAACACGCAGAAGTATAACACTTGTACTGTAAGTACGCCGCTCTTCTGTAAGGTCGTGGTACTTACTTACCCGGACGGAGCTGCCCATTTTAGACCCCTCGCGTGAAATATGTTGAAAGAAAAAAATTTTATCTACTATCGATCCGTACATATTGATTTCTGAACGTTCTCTTTAAAAAAACAATCACTAAACACCAACCTTAAGTCAAATAGAGGTACAGTAAATTAAAACCATGAATTAAAAAGAATTTAAACTTCCACTGAATTCATTATTGATCATACGAGATCGTTAATCTAGCAAGTCCATAATTTAACATTTTGTATTTCTCGGTTTTACTCGTATTCAAATTGATATTTTTTATGTAAAAAGTTGCCAAGCGAGCAGACGGTTCACCTTATGTGAATACCGCCCCCCATGGACATCTGCTACTCCCGAGGGATCTAGGCTCGTTGACAACCTTTTGAAAATTGTGCTCCGGCCACCTCACTCACCAGACGAAACGCGAAAGTATTATACTTCCACTTTACGCCGGTCTTCTGTGAGGTCGTGGTACTTACCCGGACGAGCCTGCCCATAAAAGAGTAATGTTTACGTACGAGTGAAGCAATAGGCGTAGTTTACCAGCATTCAATATACATTTATAGGCATCACAAACAACTGGAAAATAATTTGTGTAAAATGACACACAATCTCGCACCCCGGTCGTTCGTCTATTTTGTTTGTGTAAGTAAAACGCCTGTATGCAATACAAAAACGTGACATATTATTCCTTAAAATGGGAAAGCGTTGTCTGTTGTGGAGTTGTTTTTTTAAAATGGAAAAAATATGTAGCTCTTCATTAGTGAAAAACGTCCGACGCCACGCCGTCATTGTACTTCTATAACTGTAAATGTGTGCACGAATAAGTCGGCCGTGTTTCGCATCCGTGTCGGGTTATTCCGGTAATTGCATTTTCTGGCAGCGAACTCTAGTTAAATTTCAATACCGCAACAATTCGTTCGGCGGTTGCTCGTTTCCACAGGTGTAAGCCCCGTATTGATTGTATTCGTTGTGAATCGATCTCATTATTTTAAACACATTACTTTTGATTTAACTAAGACATTATATGAGTGTATGACAGCATCACATTAAAAATGCGCTTGAATACGAACTGAAATAAATTTTGTTAAACACGTCATTTATTGATTGACAAGCTGCTGCCCGCGACGACGTCTGCGTAGAAAAGGCAGAAAGCGTAACATTCAGACAGAAAGACAGTTATACATAAAATATAGCCTTTGTGTTATTCTAATGTGTAAGATATATTATTGTAAAGTTACATTAGAATCCATAAAGAGTAGCAAACATCCATCCATACATACAAACTTTCGCCTTTATAATATTAGTAAGGATTGATTCGAATAATTTCTGTTAAGAAATCTTAACCTTGGGGATAGAAATGGACTCCATTCTATTTAGAAATAAACAGTTACAAAATTAGGTTAAAAATAATTTCAATTATTTTATAAGCTAAAAGTATTTTCTGGCCCGTTGTATAGAAACATCACAAATGTGGCATACTATTATTTCAACCAAACAGAGCGTAAACTGAATCAAACTAATAATCCCACACAAAATTTCGATGGCTGATTTCAATACTTATGCAATATGGGGTTAACCGTAGGTACATCTTCTTATTTTGTAGTTA